TATGGCTGATTGTAAGCTTAATACTATGACCTTTGATTAAAATTTGAAGTTGAAGATTGATAAAGATCAAATGATTGAAGATGTTATCATGTATCAAAATATAGTGGAGAGTTTAATCTACTTGATTATCTTGTGGCTAGATGTGATTATACAGTTGGCTAGGAAAGTCAATTTATGCAGCTTTCTATGAAGCCACACTTGGATGTATGAAGACAAACATTGTGTTATGTGAGTGATACCTTTTCATGAAATTGACGATGAATTGAAGCTTCATGGCTACACAGATGTAGATAAAACTAGAAGTGCAATTAACATACCATCTATTAATAAATTCATGTTTTTACTTGAACCCGCGATTATCACTTGGAGTAACAATAAGCAATTCATAGTTGCTTAATCTTGTACATAGACATAATACAAGTGTGCTACAATGAGTACATGTGGTTTAGCATGTTTACAAATGTGACTTGCAGATTTGGAAATACATGTGCAGGTTCCAGTTGTTACTTATTGTGACAACATTAGCAGTTGAGAACTAGCATCCAATTTAATATTTCATGCAAAGACAAACCGCATTAAGGTACATTACCATTACATTAGGAAGAGGATCTTAGATGACAACATCTTAGATGGTAAAAATGAATGCACATCTCTTGTATGTGCAGACACGTTGAGCTTGAGAGGAAATGTTGAATAACCGAACTCTATACATGGCAGCAAGAAGTGTAACAGAAAATAAATGAATATGAATTTTGCCAAAAACAGTAACAAAGGCAGTAGCTTTTGTGCCATTAGCTGAACTAAATAAACTTTTAGCACTAAAAACATTAGAAACAAGAGTGACAAGTACAAAACAAGAACTTTTCAGTACAATTGGCATATCAATTTGTTTAGGGCAACGAAGACTTAGATAAAGGACTTGAACATATAAATTGCATATAGTAACTACGTTTTGGAGTGATTTAAACAATATGTGAATTATGAACTAGTAAATTTAGGATATTCTATTGAGTGTATGTAACATTTTGAAAGAAAATTGCTAGATGATGAATGCAATCAATTGCAGATGTTGCCTGCTATGCTGAATGTGTGTGTGTGTGATTGCAAGAGCTTCATATGTGTTGTGCAAATATCTATTGTCATACAATATACATTGTTGACATGCCAAACTCTCACACACACACACACACACACATATAGGGTACAAAAACGTACACATAGACAAATGTATCACAATTGAACTCTTTGTGCAAACCTCATAATGTCAAACATTGATCTCGCTAGCGAGACACCATAACTAACCCACAAAGAGTTACTCCCAACGCTAATAGACTTAACTTGAAGAATTAAAAGTTCTTTGAGTCTCCACGCGACTATACTCTTTAGCAAAAGTGAGCATTAATCTAGGATTCACTCAACTAGAGTTAATACTAATCCTAAACTAAACCCTAAATCCTAAACTCTACACTTGAGTAAGCATATCAAGCTAGGGAGTAAGTTATAGATTCCCTTCACTCCAAAATGTTTCAACTCCTCATGAGCATGACATATAATACAGTCTCTCTAAAAAGGATGGGAAATTATTTGTACTTCATCACCTAGTAGTACACCAAATACACATTATTCCTCCAATCGATACCTCCTAGCTTGTTAGGTAATCACACTTGTTAGCTTGTTAGGCATTCACTGCACCTGGTACCCTACTAATCCGTAAAAATTCCATAACCAATGCATCATGGTGGATATCTTGTCAATTTTCATCTCATCATTCTCCTCAAGATCCACAGTTTGATGAAGTGCTCCCTAATTAGAGCATGCTGCCACATTATCCTTCAAGCTAGATCATATCCAACCAACACAAATACAGAGTTAAATCTCCCAATAGTGTCACCTCATATGAGTGACATCCTCTCATTAGTGACGTAAACTTCCAGAACCATTAGTTTCTAACTTGTAAATCTGCTCAATAACTTTACTCACATCTATAGGATAAGAAATATGTGCAATAGTGTCAATTTTTTATTGTTGAACATCCAAATCACTTGGATTATTCACATGATCCAAGTGCTTCACCTCCTCTTGGAAGAACTTATACTTTCAAGGATGTATTCGTAGATTATGAATTTGTTGTCGCTCAAACACAACCTGCAAATGTCTCTGATTTTCTCCACTAAATCACTATATACCATGATATCATCAATGTAGCATTTCACAAATTCCAACTCCGCTAGGATATTGTACATCATCCGTAGAATCTCGGCAGGTGCGTTTTTCAAAAGGTAAGAACTTCCACTGGTATAAACAATCCTTGCCATCCGACTTGGCACTCCAAAATGTTGTCTTGGATTTGTACACATCTTGAACTGTCAACTAGTTGTACCTTGTTTGTAGATCCAAAATACTAATGATATTTGCTTGCTTCACTACATCAAAGATCTACTCTGGTGTAGGTTAAGCATATTGATCAGACTTGATCCACCGATTGATAGGACGGTAATCTCCACACATTCACCGCTCTGTATAATTGTTGTGTACATCCTTCTTCATTGGCTCGACTGTGGCTGATGCATATTCTTCATGCGATAGCTCCATCAATCCAGTCTCCAAGAAATTCATCACTCTACATTGAATTAGATCTCTCTCCATATCACTATATTTGTATGCACGACAAAAGATTGATGTATCATCATTCACATCAATCTGTATCCTAGGACCAAAAAAAGCAACCAACTCCTTCAAACCAAAGACAAAACAATTTTTATACTACCTTAGAAATTGTGTCAATCGTCATATCTCTACTGCTGTGATTTGAGGATCAATCAATCGCTCCCAATATTTCTCTATAGGCATACTAGAGGGAGACGCGACTCTCACTAATTGTTATGCCATCTACTCCAAAGAACCGGTACGTCTTTCCGTAGCCTCTTTTAGATCAACCTCCACTTGAGAAACTACTTCATCTGCATGAGCTTCAACTTTTGCAAGTTCTCTCATCACGTTTCATGAATTCCAAGGATGACAAATATCTCACTTGTTGCCTCCAGCCATTGCCACTATCATCTCGGTAGGCAATGAGCTAACAAATGAAGTAGAAATCATCAAACCAGTGCAAAGAAGTCGTTGCTCAGGAAAATCTAAGCTCATAATTCAAGTCAAATAGTTCAAATCCATAGCCTAATCCAAAATCTAACAGCGTGAGGTCTACAAACTTGACGAACCTGTTGTCACATCAGTCATAAATTCCATCGCATGCTCTTTCTCATCAACTTTGGGCTCCACCAATTGATGCAACATAAAATTCCATACATCCCGATAGCCATATGATGTGGGAAAACTAACCAACATGGATAAAGTCTTTTGAGGCTGAAGTATGTGGTTCATCAATGCCATAGATGACCTTTCAGCCACTCTCATCACCTTAGAACGTCACGGAAGATTCAAGATAGTGTCCACGGTGACTGTATGATCACGTTGCATGGAATCATAAGCCTCGCGTAATAATTCTTGTGGCAAGAGATTTGTCCATCATAATTGTGAACGATGAGCTTGTTCTCCAATCCTCACAACATCCAACAATAAGGCCAATCTAATCTAGGATCGGACCTCATGAACACTCGCCATCAACTGAAGCGTCATCCAACAACGGTTGGATGGTTAACCAACGGTACTTTGTCTAGGATGTATGCTGGGGACGTGTCTGATGCCGTTGGAGATTATGTAACACATCTTATATTGCCCAAACATTTAAAATCTAAGATCATGCATCCTTGCTTCATGACCAAGTCTGCTTGTTGACCCGGGCATCGCTATCCCACAATCACCAAATTAATGGAGCCAACTTGATTAAGGTACCTAGCTATAAGCAATGAAATATTTGTAGGCAATGCTTGTGGTAGCTTATCTTGGCAACATTGAAGTATAATGTTGCATCAACCATGCAATATGTAGTGAGGAAATTTGGAGGGCAATCTCATTTTTCTCCACATACAAGTATGTACTTTTTGGGCTAAACCTGTGTTAATTACACCAAAAAGATCTAACACACAAACATATTGAATGCAATAGGTGTGGTATCTAATAAAGTCTACGCACTAGTAACTCAAAGATCAAAAATCGCGCAAAGTTCAAGTAATGGCGCAACAGGCTGCCCGTTAATATAGAGAATGTCTTTTACACGTCCCTCCTCGGTCTGCGTGAACTCATAGTATATTTCGATGCCACCTCTCTTCTGTTCTTTTAGAGCTGAAAGCATGTTGTCTCCAAAGATTCCAATTTTGTTTCAAGTTTCACTAGAAAAAGTGTCGTACATCTTTCTCGATGTCCTCAAACGGCGAGGTTATGTGGTTTAGCGCGCAAACGTCTTCAACTTAGTTAAACAGGACAATCTGAGAATGATCTTTGTCAAAAATACCTTGGTAGACAACTGCACGTTGCTCATCTTTTTCCATTTGACATATTGCAACTGGAAACCCAAACTGTTTTTAGCAAATGCAAATCAATACATTTCGGGGTAATCACCCTAGTGTCTAGCGAGTTAGATAGCATGAGCACGTCATACTGACAACCAGAATAGGATTTGATCTGAAGATCCAATCTAGCAATAAAGTCGACTTAGCTATTGAACCACTTGCTCTTGGCCCTCAATTCCATCGAGCATGAAAAGAGAAGGCAGGTGGATCTTAAAGTGAAGAAAAATGGTTGTATAACTATGGTTCAATAACCAATAGACTTGCCAGATCTCCTTCGAGGGCTCGTGTAAGTCATAGTCAATTCCATAAAACCTCTCAAAGCATGTTCGCAAGAAGGAATCAACTATTCCGCGAGACAAGTAGAGTCAAAAATTGGCAACGAAAGTAGTGATGGTTGGGGACCCCTAGTCAGAAGTGAACGAATGGGGACAAGCCAAGTTACAGACCCTAATCTCACCAGAGACCAAAATGTCCACCAGTTGTCAAATTGTAAGGTATGAATCTTTATTTGATGCAATGGATGGACACTCACTTGCAGTTCTCAAGATGTCTGTAAGGAGGTAGAACAGGAAGAGATTGAAACGTCTTTTGGACTGAAAACCCTCGAGAAACAAATAGTAATTACCGCAATATTCTACCAAGTGGGCAATTCATCTCTGTACACCTTTGCTACTAGATCTTCTCGTGTTTCTTCCTTCACTCCCATCCTGGCGGGAAAACAGATTCTAATCATCTAAAATAATGAGTAGAATTTTGAGCCTCTCCTTTACCATGAGCCCTTTCCCGCGACTTTATTCATGAGATACAAGAACAAAATCTCAATCACCCGGTCTGATTTTGGAACTGAAATAGAGGTGTAAACCGATCTTGTGATCTGGGGTGGATATCTCAGACCAACATGAGTACTCTCCTCGAGAATTACAATTTACGGGCGGTTGTATCAGAAACTGCATCATTGTAACATGACCTAACTGGAGGAGCTTTGGACATGCAATATTGAATTAAATCCTATTAGCAAATTGGGTACTAAAGATTACAATCACCAATACATGATGAGCTTTCTGCACGCAGCTGCGAGAATTAGACTTCGACTTCGGCCAGTATGCTGTTTAAGAGGCCATATAAGACTAAACTGAAAGTTATCCCCGGCAGAGCTCCATGCACAGAATCATTCGCCTAATTTCCTAATCATATGAATAATAATAGTAAGCTACAGCTGAGGGCGCTTTCTGCAATTAACTTGAAGTAGCTTTCGAGACACCTCCGGATCACAAAGGTATGCCTTCATTTTCAATGGTGTCGTTTGAGATGACGATTAGACCATCAAGACTAGCAGGCAGAAGGAATTTCCACCACTGACATCCCGTTGAAATGGCTTCCTGAGGCGGCAAAATCATAAGCACGTTCTCCTGCCTCTGTACTACACCAAAAACAGTTACAGTGCTTCCCTCCTTTATATACCTGCAGCAAAAATATCACCCGGAAATTGTAAAGGCGAGAAAAAGCATCGAACTTCTCGGAGCTGACAGGCCTCGCAAACAGCTGTAAACAGATCAAACTAACGAAAGCACATTACTCTATGGAGACTGAAAAAATATCATTAGGCACATTCGGAAAGACCTTTTGGCGTTAGAATTCCCAATCACATGCGTCACTTCAAAATCTGAGGACCAGGTTTCCAATCAGTTGTCAATAAACTATGGCGATATAGAGCCCAAAGAGATGTATTCACTGTGCAAAATCTTTAAGGAAATACGAACCCGTAAAGGCGAAAACAACCTCAGTGGATTTAAGGGTTTAGACCCAGAAAACTAAGCAGTTCTCCATAATTGCAGCTTTGCCCATAAACACTACTCTCAAACACGATGCATGAACCGTAAACTTTGTTGTACACGAACAATCTTCTGCCGAACGTCTAAACTTTTCGGTCCCCATGTAATTTAAAGATTGTTCGTGTACGACTAAGTTAACAGTTCATGCATCGTGTTTGAGAGTAGTGTTTTAAGGGAGGTACAACCGTAAGGGACTCTATTTAAGCATAATCTAATGCATTGGTACTGTCAAGCAATAAAGAACTGGACCGAAACATGGCATAGCATCCTACTGAAGAAATAGAAAGATTCAAAAAAAAATATGCAGGTATCCAAGACACAAGCCTGCAAGCGAGATGCGAAAAGGAAAGCAGGTACCCACAAAGTCATGGCGAATAAGAGACAGAAAGGGAACATGGTTAATAAGGCTTGTGCAAACACAGTCAGGGCAAAGTGCAGTATAGTTCCTCAAACACGATCCAAAGGTTGGTAAGAAAAAGACCGTCAACTCAAATCTGCCCGACATCCAGGCATCTTCATCAATGGCTACCAAAGTGTACACGTTTCTGCGCACTGGACCGCGCGGAGGTTGAGGAGAGCTGAAAACCCGACAGTTAATATGGCTGTTTCCAAGATTATTATTGTGGCACAGAGTTAGCTTGGAATGGACCTATAACATCGAAAGACCTGGAGAGAACAATCAAGGATCAGGGCAAAGCGTCTATAGAGAGATAGTTCCTGGAAATAAGCAAAAGAGAGCCTGAGTCCTGGACAGCGGGCTTCTGATAATGCTCGCCGCCTGTAGTGCGTGAACTTCCGAACAGATAAAACGATGCCCATGACTGGGTGTCCCAAAACTATTGATATGAGAAGTGATCGAAAACAATAGCATAACTAGCAAGGGACCGGAGAGTACAGAGACGGGAGCTACAACCACACGGGCTGTACCTAAGGCACAACCAGATGCATTGGAACTAATGAACAGAACAGGAAAATGGCATCGCATACATCGCATAGCGTCCTCCTCAAACAAATTTACGAATTGAATGGAATCTCATTCGTAGACTATCCAGAAAATAAACTGGCATGGAAGCAGCGGAAGAAAGACGCAGAGAAGAACGAATAATTCAGCAGACGGTCCCCTTGCTTGTTATGACATTTGATGACAACCACTGTCAATTACATAACTGGGTTCTTCCATGAATTCGTACAAAGAGGCGAGAGGTAGTAGCATGGTGGAATACAGGGTGGATCCCAGCTGTTCCGTTCAGTGGTGGTCACTACTGTGCGGTATACAGGATCCAATCCAAAGAAAGAAAGTCCTCCAGTGAACATAATGGAAGAGCCCAGTTATGTACCGTATGGACAGTATGTCAAATGGAAAACTTATTACTCCCCCACCTTACACCGGCGGGAGACTAACAAGCTGTAGCTTGTTGAGGTGTGGCTCTCGTCGCAGAACTGTATCTCTAGTTTTGAAGCAAATTGAAAAATGGTCAAAAAATAAGCGGTGACAAATTTATTGAGCTCACTACTAGTACTTACCCCCAACAATAGTAAACATATGATTTGTGAAGTCCGGAACTGCGTCGACGATGAGATAGTCTACATATAGAAGAACGCTCAGAAGTTTGGTGAAGATGCTGTAGTGTTCAGGAAAGAAGAAAATACACTGTATGAAGTCGAATTCATCAGAGAACCGGAAGTAGTTAGCCAATACGACAGCACAGCTGGTTCCCATGCGAATCCCGATAGTTTGAACATAGAGGGTTCACTTGAAAGTTAAATAGACATAATCTAGTGGGAACTAGAAGTGCGATTGTGAAAATATCGTTTCGTTCTTGGAGCAATATATGACAAGTTGAAGGGGCAAAATGGATATGAGGCGCAAAATTCAATATAGAAAGAAGGTGATACCTCTGGAGACAAAAAAATGTCGTTGAGATTATGGGCTATCCGAAATATCTAAACGGTATGGAATTCAACGAGATGAAGTGGAGAATTTGCCATGGTTGAAGTAAAGTAGGTCTTCTTGTCAGGAAAAGTAGGTCTTCTTTTAAAGAAATATGACCGAAGAGATCTCTAAGGAGGGTGGCCATCCTGTGTATAAGATCGGCAAGAGTGGAGAAGTAATGGTTGTGAAGTGGATATGGGAGAATACGGTTAATGTATTCATGGATAACACGACAGACACCCGTGGAGTTACCCAATCTCCATAAGGAGAGTGTGCATAGATCTTTCTGGAGCAGGAGTGAAGCCCATATATCATGTCCACTGGGGAGGACGTCCTTGTGAGCCAATCCCAACCTTATTGAGACTAGCATTGGCAGTGTCGGTAGATAAAATGATAAGTGAATGTTCTCGTGAAACCCTGTGTAACTTCCAAGAGATGGTCATCTGCATGTCGTTTAACTGTCAGCTGCATGTCATAAACCCGCAGTTGGAATTAAAGGCACTGAACGTGTGCACAGCAAGTAGCAGCCAGCTGCTGTTGAACTGCCGAAAGGAAGATAGTACGTGACCAACGTGAAAGTATGCCTGATACACTGAAGAAATCTTCCTGACTTACCAACTTCTGGCCAACAGCAGTAAATGCTTGAAGTGGGGTAGCTATGGCTACAAGTGGCGGAACTAGTGCAGTGTGCAATTAAAATGGAAAGGTTGGTGGTAGGAAGATATGAGAGATATCGTCATGAACGTTAACATGGCATGTGAAGGAGTGAATGAAACTTCAGAAATGAGAACAAAAACATGTGGAGGGTAGGCTTGGACAAGTGGACTAAGACTCCTGAGGATATTTAAAATCAATACGAGCCTTAGTGTGATAAAACAGCAAGTATTTGGTGGAAGTGAGCTACGGTGCATGGGGTTGCGTATTAAGCACAGAACAGAAGCAATAAGTGAAGTAAGGCGCAAATAGGGCGAAGCAGGCAGCAACAATCCATGGGATGATGTGCAGGTATAAGAGAGAAAGAATGAAACATGATCAGAAGAACAAGACAGAGCATACGCAGAGACAGGACAATGTGCGGTATGGTTCCTTAGAGTCGATAGGAGAAAGCGTATCAGGGACCAAGAATATCTACCCGATAGGCATCCCTCCACTATCACATAACCCCGGCAGCTTCCATCAGTGGGTAGACAAGTGAATAGATTTCTGCACTGAACCGCTCGGGGTTTGAGAGTAACTCAAATGCAACATGCCAACCATGGAAGGATTCCATAACTCTTCCCGAGACCAAAGGCAAAATACTTAAGCAGAAGCAAAAAGATGGCCTGATACTTACGAAGCTGGCTGCATGCTACCTTCCACACCTGTCGCCCAGACTAATTGTAGATAGTGTATATATGTGTATATTGCACGAGAGACCCTATTTGAACGCAGCCTGAGTAAAATCCAGTTGCCGATGTCTCTAGTTGAGAGAAAACTCCAAACAGGGGCAGATAACAATCCAGGAGAGACTAGACTCAGCATGAACAGTAGTCACTTATAACTCGAAAACAAGAAGCTTTGTCTCAGACATTGTGGCGAAGAAAAGGAGAGAGAAGTCAACGGCAGAGCTAAGCGTATTAACGATCACTAAGGATTGGCCTGGTTGCATGAGAACCCCAACTATGACCCCGAGAAACCCGACATGTCGTGGTAGCTATACTTCATGGCAGAAATGAAAGGACTACTACTAATTAACCTCCAGCGGAAGGCACTGATCGTTCCATATTTGTCCTCTCCAGGTCTTCTAAGAGTTGTTGCCAGGCGGTTAGATGTCCTGGCCAGTCTGACCTGTGTCCGTATATATATAACGCATCCCGCTGATTTGGTCGTAAAATTAAGATGGTATCGCTGGCTTCCGGCTCAGCTTGATCTCTGGGCTGTTCAATCAATCAGCAATTATAAACTTTGATAGGTAAAAGGCAGACCTAAGTTGGCCATAGTCCGAATAGAGGCAGGACCATTGCGTCTTAGAAATTCCTACTTTTCTCTGATACGACAGCCTAAATAATACGTGCAAGAGGGTTATAAGCTGACGGCTTGATGTGGCATTCGTCGTTTATCGTAGACCTGAATCTCTAGTTTCGGAGCAGATTGGGCAACAGCCAGGTCCATATTCCAGCGGATGTTACCTGAGAAAGTCTAATTAAGTTCACACGAGGAGATAATCTATGTATTGTCTCACGTTGAGAGGTGTTAGAATACAGTTATACTCCCTACTCCTTCATGTCTGTGCAAACTAGTGCAGTTAGAGTCCTTATAGTTAGGACTGAGATGTTGAGTTGAGTGTGACCCACTGTAAGGGTTGTGTCCCTTTGGAAGGACACAACCTTTGTCAACTCGGATGGGAGATTTAAACCCAATCCGGGACCTGTGTTACGACAACTCTAATGATGAACGTTTTCCTTGTAACTCAATTTCTGTGTCTAGCCTTCTTGCATTGCTCTTCTTTCTAATATGGTGTGAGAGCTGGTTCTTTCCTAATTCAAGGACGCTTGCGTTAGGAAAAGCATGAAAGAAGCTTTTTGTTTTGAATCATTCTCTGTGCTAACTTTCAGAGCAATTTCAAGGGTTATTCCCCTAAACCTGTCGCTCCGATCTTCGGCGACCAAAGCTCAAGCTCTTTCTGCAGGGCCGTGCCCCGATGATCGACGAGCAGC